TTAAGTCTATCGTACTGTGTATTTGAGAAATCTTAAAGAAAATCTGTTTCCAGCAGGAATCGAAACTGGGTCTCCACTTTTGTAGGAGATTCCATTCCTGTTGGAGGGTACGTGTTGTTGCTCACATATTCGGCTCATGGTATCCTCATCATCTTTCTGTAGAACCACATTGCTGTAGCTGCAAATCTCTTCTTCATCTTTGAGTATATTGTTCAGCATTAACTGCTATACATTAGGAAAGATATCATGTTTCATTTCGGTACACTTTTCTTTGTGTCCAATGAAATTTTCTGTCTCTTAATACAGTCCTTAGCTTTTGGAATGTATCTTTTGCTATCCCAATATGTCTTCGAATCTCAGAGTTACACTTTTCGTCCTCTGTTAGAACACTTCTTAGATATTTAAATTTCTGTACCTGCTTGATTTTAGTATCCTCGACCTGTAATCTGCCTTTTGGGATCACCCTTTTGCTGATTTCTGCATTTTGTCTCTTTGTAGTTGATGCTTAGTCCATTCTTCTTGCTTTCCTTCGCTGCCTTCTGTAGGAGGTTTTGTAATTTCCTTCCCGTGTCTTCTATAAACATTGTGTGATCTGCATATGCTTGTTAACACTCGCAACCAGTAATTCTGGTAGAACTTCTAATTCTCTGAGAATTGCTTCGTTGTAGAGGTTGAATAGATCCGGCGAGAAGACACATCCTTGCCTTACATCGATTTCTATTTTTGTATATCCGCTGAACACTTTTTTTGCTCGTATGCAGGCGGTTTGCAGCCAGTAAAGATTCTTGATTATACTAATGTCTTTCCCGAATATGTCCAGGTTGCTGAGCAACTGTAACAGATCTTTGTGACGTACTTTGTCGAACGGTTTTGCGTCGTCTATAAATTACAGGTAAACATCCTTCTGCATTTGCATCGCTCTTTCTTATAATATTCCGATGTCTTTGACGAACCCGTACGACTCTTGTCCTATATCTGGTCTGATTCTGCTGCACGCTCTATTAATCAGAATTATTTTTTTATGTGGTTAATTAGACTGATTGTCCAGGGGAGTTCACAATCTTTTGTGCCTGGTTTCTTAGGCAGTGCTATGAAAATAGATCTGTTTAGGTCTTCTGCTATATCACCACTTTTGTAGACTTCATTTATTATTTCAGTAATGTTGTCTCTGCCAAAGTCGTCTAAGGCTGCCAACATCTATTCCAATTCCGTCTGGCCCTTCCGCTTTGTTTCTGTTCAATTTGGCCTGTGCGGCTTCCATTTTAATATTTCCTGTCCATTGCTGGACGACGGCCGGATGACATCTGTTGCATCCAACAGTCTCACGTTTGCTCCTGTTGGCTAGCTTGGGGAAACCTTTCTATATTTTTGTCGGTTTTAAAAATGTAAAAAAGAAAAATCGCCTTTCGTTGTAACTGCGTTCTCATATTCCTAGTCGGTCTCCTTCAAAAAAAAGCATTAAATAATTCGACCCCAAAAAATTAACATTACGTTAATAAGAAAATTATCAGTAAGAACATATATATAATAAAATTGGAGTTAAGATACCATAAATGAAGGATCATTTTCGTCGGCGAATTTTAAATTTAAAACTCACAGGATTTTTCAAACTGTTTATGGTGTCAATATGTTGAAGAGGATTTGCTAGCCGGGAAAAGAAAGAAAGAAAGAAAGAAAGAGAATAAAATACGAAAAAAAAAACGGTGAGGTAGTAAGGAAGACACAAATTCAAAAATATATATATATATATATATATATAATCAAATATGTGGTGCAGTTCCTTATACAGCTTATAATTTTTAAAATCAAGGATCATAACATTCATCGAGTGGTTTGTAAATTAATTCACCTTCAAAATTTTGTTAGCGAAGTGATTTCGGCATTTTATATCATTAACTTTACTAATCTACTTTTTGTTTGAATGATTCATTATATATATATATATATATATATATATATATATATAATCTTTCTGACTTAATTGGGCTAATTAAAACTGAAAATCGTCTTTCGTTCGATATCCGTACGCTGTTCGAAACATTATATAATGTTATTTTCCATTATATAACACGCACTTTTAAAAAACAATAATATTCAGTTGATGGTTTATTCATACTTAAATATAAGTTTTCATATTATATCAGATATATACATATTTAATTATAGGCTGGATGGTTAGGTATTCATAGTATCGTTAATGTAACCATTTAGTTATGAAATGCAAATTTGTTTTGGGAGGATTATTTGGTGATTAGTAAGTTATAGCGTTGAATGCTGTAATTGAAATGATAAAAGGTAGCAAATCTGCATCAGTCTGTTCAATGTCTTAAAGAATATATTCGTTTCATTGGCCTGTATCTTACATTGTTTAGGTTGGCACATGGTTACAATAGTGGAGCATCCCGTTCATTCTCTCTCTGAAATGGCACTCATTCCCTTTTTAGCGACACTGCATATGGCAGAGGTATTCACTTTCTGGTTGATTTCTTATATTTTATCTAAATTCGTAGTAATAACATTATTAAAATTTTTCAAAATTATTATAAAATTTCTGAATTTTTTAAAAAGAAATTTCTCGGCATCTGACGTTTGTAAGGATAATTTGTGTTGTCGGATACAATATTAGAATTATCATTTAATTATATCGATAATTGCCAAGCAGAAATGTCACTGAAAATTAGTATCACCGTTCTCAGCATTCTACTAGAATGGTTTAAAAATACCATTTAATACTAGTCCACGACACTTTTGAATGCGAGCAAACTTCGTAAGAAATATCAATTTATTGAGCATGAATTCCATTAAAAATAAGTATTCAAATATTCCCTTACCAAATAAATATTGGATATTACTCACCGAAAAATGACGGTAAATTCTGCTTTGATCTATGTGGGAGGGTGAGGTTTAGTGACATGCAAAGCAAACAATGTCTTTAATGAAGCGTTCAGAGCTTGAATTTCCCAAATAAGAAAAGATTATAAAAGAATTCCCCATCGGCTTCTTAGAGTAAACAGTCTTAGTAGCCCGTTTACTTCGATATGCTGGCAAACAAAATCGGCTGTTCTGTTCAATGTTGAACATGCTTGATAAATTCACTGGCGTCGCTGCTTATTGATTCTAAATCTCGCCATTGCTGCTGTATACATGATCCTAATGTTCGTCTCTCTTCCAAAGCACACATGTACAATGGGCACACATACCATTACCAAATGATACCTTATTGAAAATATAAACGAGACCCAGATAGTTAGAAGTTATTCTCTGGCAACTGAAGCCCGTGCAATATATGAATCGCCTCTTGTGCCGTATATATAGCCTTTATGAAAAGCCCTTACGCTTGGTGGTTTAGCGTCGAATACTACGTGTTAGGGGAGTGTGTCAATTTAGTCGCCAACTCAGCCGTGAATTAGCTGCAGTAGACTATATATTACTGCTAACACTCAAAGGAGTAACTTGTCAACAATGAACAGAAAAGGAAGAAACAATTAGACTTCCTTGTCGCTCATTTTTCCTTGCATAACGCGCGACAGTAAGCTCAGCAGATACTTGAGATTCAATGTATATGCTTTTCCCTCACAGTGATATTCAACTTATACAACGAGGCAATTCTGAGAGAATTAGAAGTCCTACCAGGATTCATTATAGGCGGCCACAATCTTAACAACATAAGATATGCAGATGGCACAGTGTTGATAGCAGACATAGAAAGGAAAATACAAAATCTACTCGCAAAATTAAGTGAAGGAAAGCGAGAAAGGACTAAGTAATTACAAATCAGGGATACTAAAATCAAACAAGTACAGAAATTTAAATATCTGGGAAGTGTTTTAACAGAAGACGGAAAGTGTGATACTGAGATCCGAAGACGTATCGGGATGGCCAAAGGTGCATCCCAAAAGATAAGCAAAGTATTAAGAGACAGAAAATTTCCTTGGAAACAGAAAAATGAATACTGAACTCTTATGTGATATATGCTCTCAATTACGACAGCGAATTCTGGACAATTTTCTCAAAGATGAGGAAGATACTTGAAGCAACAGCAACGTAGATTTACAAAAGGATGCTAAGGATACAATGGGCCGAAAATGTGAGCAACGACGGGGTTTTAGAGAAAATGGAAACAAAAATGAAACGTATACTTAGCATCAGGAAGAGACAGTTGAAATTTTGAGGGTACATAATGAGGAGGGAAGGCTTGGAAAATATGATACTCACAGGACAGATTGAGGGAAAATAAAGGACTGAGGAAAGCAGCGCGTAACATACCTTATGGGCTTGAGTATCTCGATGGTAGAACAGGGTTTGGGACAAATAACAAAAAGACAAAACTTATTAAGAGCTACAATGAACAAGAAGATGTGCAAAGCCATGATCACCTACGTCCTGAAGGGACACGGTATATAAAAGAAGAAAGTAATTCTATTATTTTTTCTAACCGGTTAATGCCAACTGCTTTGTGATCTCGCCTAGAACGGGACATCTATGTCAAATCTCGTTGTTTACTGGGAGCGAAGATTGTTAGTCTGGGTTTGCGACTGTAGGAATTGAAATAACAAAAAAAAGTAGCGGTTAAAATCATAATTATTTTACCTTGAAAAGTTAGTTCACTTTATCTTGGCATATATATTTCTTTATTAATATATAATTCGATGAAGCTTCAGATCCATTACTTTCTACCCAGTTAACCACGGTGTACGAAATGTTATATAAAATTTTAATCTTAGAATTAACTATCTACGTTAAAAAGTTTTAATAAAACAAAGGCCATATCGGAATTATGAATTCTTGAACAAATATATGAACGTGAAAGTAACTTTATTTATTTATTTTTGTTTTTTTTTGTTTGTTTTTTTTTTAGAACTAAAGAAATTATTGCTATACTGACATATTTTGTCGTAAAAATGAGATAAAATTATGTTAATACAAGTATGAGAGGAATCATTTATTCAGAGTATTGAAGAGTGTCTTCCAGGGTGTTATATCAGGGCAGACTGGTGGCCATGTCAACGATCCATCGTGACCTATCCATCGATTTGGGAAACTTTGATCGTGACAAGCGCGAGCAGTTCGGGCAATATGAGACGGTGCACAATCCTGTTGGAAATACCCTGCACGTATCATTTGTAGGGGTACGTTAGCAATGGCAAAATTTTGCGCTATTTGTAAGTAAGCATTTGCAGTCACCGTTGAAGTTGTAAAGCAACATGGGCCAATTACACCCTGTGATTTCTGGTTATGGGATATAATAAAGGATCGTGTGTATAGCAATAAACTCAAGGACAGAATAAAAGGTGTAAATGTATGTAAAGGCACTAAATTTTACTGTTGATCGCTAGTTTTTGTGCACCAGTCGTACTGGTGGACAGGTGGAGACTGTACAGTAAACTCTGAATAAATTATTATTCTTATACTAATGTTAACATAATTTTGACTCACACTGTATATTTACGACAAAATATATCAGTATAACAATAGTTCTAAACAAAAAAAATAACTTTTCTGTTCATATTTAGTGTTAACATAATTTTGACTCACCTTGTATTTTTTAATGATTATAGAAGAAAAGATGTAGAAAAAATGAATCTTAAAATGCGTGGTTAGGCAGCAATGTTAGGATTAATATTTTGCATATTTCATTCACAATATCTAAAAATATGGGAGAAATTTATTAAATTTAATTGTGCCATTAAATTTATATAACAAGGTTCTTAAATGATTTCTCATTAATTCTGTTTTACAATATGTCACGTTTGCTCTTATTTTTTAACGGTAATCTAAACTAAAACCTACTTTTTTTAAACTAACTTTTAAGGAGAAAAATATATCAATATATTTGTTTCGTATAAAAATATCACAGAGAAAAATAGTAAGTTAGCTTTTATAATAAATTTCTTATTGTAAAAACAAAATCAATGAAAAATGTTTTTTTAAATAACAAGCATAAAACAATTATTTCTTGTAAGAGAAATTATGACCTTTTTTGAAAAGAAAGACTAGAAAAACATTGGATTAATAAATGATTTCCTTAAATCAAGTAAAATAAAAATGTTATATTTCGGCATTTTTTTTAAGCATATCAACCCAAGCAAGGCGGGTGTACCACTAGCACGCAAGGAGTTACAGAGAGTAAGAGTAAAGAGGGGTGTTTGAGGAAAGGATAAAGAGAAGGACGGTGATCAAGATAAGATCAAGGTATCAGAATATGTCGACTGATATTATATTTGAATATTTGAAGATTATAGCAAGGGAGTTCCACTATCGGGAAGTGCGAGAAAAGAAGCTGTCATAGTAGAAGAGACCTCTAAATTTAACCGTTTCCGCAGTGAAACGGTGGGACCGAGATAAGCGTGGTAAACATTTGACATACTTTTTTACGGTAGAGTAATGGATTGCGGCTCGGACTGAGGAATCTGAGAGCCGAGTTTGAATTTCAGTTGAATCCATTACATTCACTTACGTGCTAATACCCTTGGGAAAGGATGAATCTAACTGTTCTCTCCCCCTCCAGCTATAGGTAAATAGTAGAACAGAATGGGTTCTATATCCTTGGGCAGCAAACGGTCTACCGCAGAAAGAAATGGCAACCTACTGCGGTAAAATCTTCTACCTAGTGAGTCATGAATCGAAAGAAGAAACATGATCGCTCAAGCGTGTATCACGTATGGAACTTAACTGACTGTTAGCAGCTTAAATAACCTAATTCTTTTCTTCCTCTTTTTCTTTCGGGTTCGAGTTTGTTTTTGTTTTTTATTCATCTTTTACCCTTTCTATTTCTCTCTCTTTCAGTCTCTCTCCCCTCTCTTCATGTTTTCCCTTCCCAGTCTCTTTCTTTCATTCATCCCCCTCTTTCGATCTTCTCCTTTCTCTTGTCACTCTCTCTTTTTTCCCTTTTCTGTCTTTTCACATTAACTGTTTGTCAGTTTTCCGTCTCGTTTTTCCTTGTACTCTCTCTCTCTCTCTCTCTCTCTCACACACACACACATTCTCTGACGCATTTATTTTTAACGGTCCGCTTTCATTTCCTGTTCTTTTCTGTGTCGCCTCTATCTCTCTCTCTCGTTTCTTGTTCTCTTTTCCTACTTTTCATTTCCGTCTCTCTATCTATCTCTCTCTCTCTCTCTCGTTTTCTTTTCCGTCTCTCTTGTTTCCTGCTTTTCATTTCCGTCTCTCGCCCTCTCTCTCTCTCGTTTTTTCTTTTCCGCCTCTCTCTCTTGTTTCCTGGTTTTCATTTCCCTCTCTCACTCTTTCATTTGCTACTTTTATTTTCCGTCTCTCTTTCTCAGTGTTTTGTTTGTTTGTTTTTTCTTTATCCCATAAGGATTCAGTGAAATAATTATTAGACAACATTATAACGAAGTCAGAATTCAGCTTCATCTATCAAATATTTTTGTAGTTGAAGTGATTTGGACACATACTATTTAATTTTGAATTACTCTTTTATTTATACTAAAATCTCTCTTTCTCTTTCTCGTTATTTCTGTTACTGTTTCTTCTTCCTCTTACTTCTTTTCCAATTCTCTCAATTTATTTACCTTTCCTTCTTTGAGCTCTTGTTTCTTTCTCTCTATCTCCCTACCTCTCCATTTTCCTTTTTGCTATCGTTTCTCTCCTTTTTCCTTTTTCTTACCCGGTTTCTTCTTTATTTCCTTCTCCGTTTATTTTTCTACATCTTTTTTTCTTTCTGTCTTCTTTCGTTCTACTTCTTTTTCCTCTGTTCCACTTTTCTATTTACACGTATGTACATAAACAGGCTCTCTATATCGTAGCACGGATTGTGAACTACTTCATAAGAAACAACATTCTTAGTTTGGCTTGCTGTGCTCAAAACCTTGAAAGGTCTCGGCATAAGTTGCTTTTTTTTTTCATAATATGACAACGGTAGCATCGTTTTGGCGCCACTGCAGAAAGTAACTCTATTTAAGCCAGATTTCATGGAAACAAAATGTCTTCATTTTCAGTTATTAGCGTTCTTTCCCTTTTTATATTATTGTTTAGTAACTTTATCTTTGAACCTGGAAATAACATCAATAAAGAGGTGATTCCACGCTCCTTAAATCTTCCAACCAGAGGCCTTGCTACCTGCCGGAATACAGTCTATCGTCATACCCAGGCCTATCAAGAAGCATGAGGATTTTTGGGAAAGTCGTTGTAATCAGATTGAACACTGTTTGCTCTCTGTTCTATCATGATTAATAATTTTAAATTAAAGACCTGCTGTAATTCTTTAATACATATTCCACATTTGTCAAATAAATGCCTCAAGAATCGTGGTTTCTTTGAATCCCCTAACACCCCCACCAAAACAAAAACAGGTTCTAAAATTGTTTTAGTTTTATGGTAGCATTAGAATTTTCTTCGTATTCAATGAAATAAAGGCAAATAATGTGCGTAAAATTTAAGACAATAAATATAAAACACCTGACATTACCATCCTTCGAAACTTGTGGACTGGTACTAGATAATGACAAAAAACTGTACCAAATAACAGTAGCCACATCATTTGAGGACATAAAACTGCAGCAACAACTATAAATCTTCTGTAACTCAGAGAAAATAGTAACATAACCAAGATGTTGACCTTCCAATGGAAAAAAAGGTTAAGAAGGAAACTCCCCATCAATAAGGGAATAAGAGCTTAACAGGTGAGAAATCTATTCCGCTAAAATGAATGTTTTAAGAGAAAGATTTTATAAATTTAGTTAACCATTAGTTACTACTGAAAACATTCTTGTTCATTAGAGACTAGAAATAATTTCGCATTAAGATTCTCGTCTTCATTCGGAGACACGAGATGAGTGGTTGTTAGTTCTTTATTTGGAATAAAATTCCTCTCAAATGACACCTTAGAGCAGTGGTCCCCAACCTTTTTTTTCTGGGTCGGACTTTAGGAATTAAAACTTGCTCACACCTCACCAAACTTTATATGATAAAAGTACATTTAAAAATTAAAAATCAAAGAGATTGTTAAGGGCAGATAACTGCGGATTCTAAGTTTGAAGATTATCATTGATAACTCTCTCCTCCAATTTGCGGACCCTATTTACTATATTTTAATACTTGATATAATGCAAAATTATCACAGTTATAAAACCGGTCAATAATTATTTATAACTATTTATACTGAAACTCATGCATGCAGGTACAAGTAATGGTTGTGGTGTCCTCCCTCTAAAAAGGCTATGTTGGACTCTTCCGCCTACTATAAGTTTAACAGGAGACAAGGCATTGGAGGAACACTCGAATAGGGAGATATATATATATATATATATATATATATATATATATATATATATATATATATATATATTTAGTTTATGCAAAACTAGGTAATCGCATGGATAGACCCAAGGAGGATGATATCCAGAGAGCTCAATGTAAAATTCAGAGCCAATATGTTTGAATAAAAACAGACCACTTTAAGGTTCCATGTAATAAGTTATTTCACCATAACCCCTTTAACAGGGCTCTGGATCATCAGACTTTACTTACAAAGGTTGAAATGAAAAATGAAAGAAATTCATACGTTTTTGACGGACCGCATCAAGCATATGCAAAATTGAGGAAGTGAGGTGGGAGAGAAGATAAGATATGAGTGGGTTAGATGTACCATTTCAATTCCTTATTCTTAACCCCACTGTGTGTCGGCTAACGCGTATTGTCTCTAGATATAGGTGGGTGAGGGAGAAGACCGACATTAAAGGAAGAAGCTACAACAACCCTAATAAATTACATTCCACGAGGGCAGGTTTCATTCAAATTCTTAGACGCTGTTAATTCGCATTACTTTAAAGGGCATATTTGGGAGGTTAAGGTTTGATATAAATCTAAATGTCTAAACAATCTACGAAGAATTTAATTTGAAGTTCGTTGGAGTTTTGGGTATTTTCTATGAAACAATCGATTCGAAAAACTCATAGAAAGTACATTGAAAAAGTAATCCATTTTATATTTAGTAATCTTTTTTATTTTTCTAAACTCGTATCTTGTTGATTGTTAAGTTGACATCTATTCGTTTGATTTTTGTTCATTAATTAAATAAATATATATATTTGAGAGAGAGAGAATCGCAGATTCGAAGTCAGAACATTATCATTGATATCTCTATCCTCCTATTTGCGAACCCTAGTTACTATATTCTTAATACTTGATGTAATACAAAAATATCACAATGATAAAATTGCTCAATAATTATCTATAACTATTCACACTTTGACTCATGCAAGCAATTACAAGTAATGCATAATAATAGTTTAAATTTTGAAATCATATTTATTTTTGGTATATGATTTTTTTTTTAAAACTGTTTCTAAATCTTTGTCTGTTTTTCAAACGTTCCGTCTCACCTGTCTTTTCCGCCGCCCCCATCAGACACGCTGTGTTGTTTGGGAATCACTGCCTTAGAGAAAATCGTCAGATTTCTCACGAGGATGTGAAATAAAATAAATTGAATATCATAGGCTAAGCGAAAATTTTCAAAAGCCTTTCTATGAAGTTGAATTTGTATAAATTTGAATAAATACGTTTTAAAAATAATCACGCACACACGTAAACATTCGCTAATACTTAATACGCATGTATACGTCAACAAACACACCCAGATACAGAAATACATGCACTCCGCGGAAAAATATTGTACAGACTCTAAATAGCAGAATATTATGCTTTTACTGGCTATAAAAACAAATCATTGATCTTGGAAGTAAGACAGACTTAAATAAATAGATTAAACAACTTCGTATGCGATAGATTTGCTCTTTGATAGCTTTAAATATTTCATTTTTTAGAGAATGAAAAAGCAATGTTGTTCGTTTCATTCAGTTAAAGAGCAGTTAAAGAGATGTTGAAAATATTTTCCAGTTAGTTTACGTTTAATGTGAGAAATAATGTTTGTGTAGTTCAAATCTGTACTCTGCGTAAGCCAGGACATGAGCCTGATAGACCTGTTCTCAAGCCACTTTTTAGTAGGGACTTCCACAAAAACACAATACCTAAGATTTAAAATGAATTTTTAACAATGAAAATCTTTCTTGAAGCTTTTATTTTAGTTTTAATTTCAAGCTAATAGATTAAAATTAATATTTCCAGTAAGCAAAATACTTTGCTGTATTTCAAAACCTAATTTAAAATGACTGGAAGGAGTATTTTTTTTTTTTTTGTTTTTTGCTAAAATAACTGATTAGCGCCCTTTTTTAGTGATCTTTCATTGCAATGTAATTCTCTTTATTAAAAAAATCTTCCAAAAAGAAAATATACTTTTCTTAAATTTTATTTGAAGAATATTAGCTATTTTAAAGTATAATTAAACTGATTTGAAACAAATATTATTTACTTTACAAAATAATTGAAGAAATGCATTCTTTAACCCGCCAGTATCTGTGTGATGACAGGTTGGTTTGGTTTGTTTTACGGCATATCAACCCCAATGGGTTATTTAATGCCAACAAATTTTCCATTACTGGTATTATTTTGTCAGTAATATTAATTTCTTTCAAAAAAAATTGCTGGTAATATTTTTTCCTCAAAAATATATTGCTGGTAATAGTTTTTTTTCTTTAAAAATTTATTGCTGCAAATAATTTTTTTCAAAGTATTTCTAGTATTAAAACCTGTTTTTATACTTTTATAGTGTTTTTACCCCAGTTTCGGAGTTAACTATTTGCCCATAGCTGGGACCCTAACAGCTGCTACCACCCCGGGGTCAGGGCGGACCTAGGAACACCAGCAATTAAGATGGGGTTCCACGCTCCTCAAAACCTCCTGATCAGTGGCCTTGCTGTTGGACGTAGTTTATCGTCTTACCCAGGACGCAGATGTAGTTTATCGTCATACCCAGGACGGGATGACAGGTTGTTCTACGAAGACTTTATCTGTAAAATATTATTTAAGAAAATGACCCGGGCGACTTTTTTTTTATATATAATTTTAAGTAATCAGTAATTATAAAAAGTTATGAATATATTCTCCGTAATCTAATGTTTTATTAAATTTTAGGTATGTTGACTTAAATTTGCTATACATTGTTATCGCTCTTATGTCTTGATAATGCCGTGTATGGTCGTCCGTACTTACAAAAATGTGCACGTTTATAAACATACAAACATTTTGAAATTATTTTTAATATATTGGTGTTCGATGATTTCTATTAAGCTTTTCCGTTTATGATTTTGTAAATATATTTTTCACTTAATAATTTCATCTAAAGGCTGAAATTCATACAAAATTTTAAGATTTAAAACTTAATTTTTTCCAATTAAAATTTTAAAAAAATGAAAAAAATTCTTGTAAAAATTCATTCTTCATCGAATTTTTTTTTCTAGAGAAAATACTGTACTTAATACATTTTATTTATAAAAGTAATTAAAAGCTTTTCTAATTAAATAATATCATAGTTTTATTGCATTATTTTATTTTACGATTCAGATTTTCTGTAAATGGTGTTTTTGTTTGAAAAAAACAATTATATTCTCCAATGAGTCCTGCTTTTAATTATTATAAATATGAAGAGGCTCGAAACTTAAAAAAAACCAATTTTATGCATTTGTGAATAAGTTCTGAAAATTTCATTAAAATCTGACAATTATTTGATTCTTGCAAGAATTTCCAAAACAATGTGTTTTTAACGCCTAAAAAGACGCTGAAAATCCCTATACTAATCTTTTGGCTTTGCCGCTGACGCAGGAAAAACAAATGTTTTAACCAAAAACCAAGAGAAAAGATCATGAAATTTAATGAAA